GTTCAAGGCTGAGGTGGCCATGATTATGCCACTGCACTCCAGCTTGGGCAACAGAGGGAGACTCCAACTCAAAAAAAAAAAAAGGAGTGTTGGACAGTCCTCACACAGGTCTACTGGTTGGTCTCTGTCCTCTCACCCAGGTGAATCTTTCCCCACCTCCTCAAATGAACACCCACCAAACACGTTCCATGGGATATCAGTTGTGTCCAACACAAACAAGAAAAACAAAAAGCAGGGAAGAGGAAGGGTTCCATAATGGACTATTTTGGGAGGACGCCTGGAGATCTCAGCACTTTGGGAGGCTGAGGCAGGAAGATCGCTTGAGGCCAGACATTTAAGACCAGCCTGGGCCATATAGCAAGATCCAGTCTCTACAAAAAAATTTCTTTAAAAAAGACTATTTGGGGAAAATACAAGGGGAACCCAAAACTTATTTATAAAAATTTGTATATTTATTCTTATGTTTAAACTTCAGTCACCTTCAAAATTCCCTCTGTTTGATGCAATCCACCTATTGAGGTGATTTTTCCACTGCAACACAGTTTTTGAACTCATCCCTTTTTATGCCTTTTAGTGCTTCCACCATTTTTGGTTTCACCTCTTGCTTATCAGCAAAACGTCTCCCTCGGAGGACTTTTTTCATCCAGGGAAACAAAACCAAGTCACTTGGCATGACATCGGTTGACGAGGGGTCATGCCAAGTGACTTGTTTTTGTTGAACACTCAGTGCAGTGAGTGTTCAAAAATGCTGAACACTCAGCGCAGTGTGGGCAGGTGTGCTTGTCAATCACCCATCATGAAATGGGCAAACACGTTGAAAGAATCTCCAAAAAAAATTCACTGAAGCTGAATGCAGCCTCTCACGACAATGCTGGCTGGTCCACGGATGACGAGGGGTTCCTAGAACACTTCCCTTGGGAAGCCTGGACGACAAGGGGCCCACCCTCCAAAAGATAACTCCAGGTTTTTTGGCCCCCTAAAAAACCCGGATTTAGCCCAGATGGGACTAAATTGGTAAATTTACTTCAGAACTTCCAAGGATTTCTACCGCTTTAATGTTTTTTATGAACCTCTGAGAAAGGGAAATCGTGGGCAGTACAGCCTAAACTTGACTATGGGGCTTTTATTCCTAGCGTCTGAGGGGATTCCTAGTGTCTCAGGCCTAGTGTTAGAACGAGTTTCCTTGAAAACACTACCCTAGTTAGTGCTCTCCAAAAATAAACTTAAAGTTCTGATTCACTTTTAATATGTGTGAGGTCACGATTGCCACCACAGTGTTTTATAATGAGATTTTAAAGAGGGAAAAAATAGAACCAACGTAACTCCTTTCAGTGATATTGCAGAGGATTTCTTCCACAGATTGTAAGTGAAATGCCGGATGCATTCCACTGCCTACTTAAATCCTACCGCAGTCTAATTGTCAGATGGCAACATCCGCCTCCTCCTTTCCATCAATCCTGCCACAAAAACGCAGAGATAATTGGAACTTGTCTCTTCAGTGACTCACGGTAAGCACTGCACTCCGGTGGCCCAGCCTCACCGCTGACTTGGGCTCTGCTTGAGGCAACACGCAGACACCCTGTGCTGGAGTAAGAAGTGATTCTGGACACTCATTCCAGGGCTACCCCGGAGAGATCAGGCGCTCAGGGTCCGTCAAGAAGACAAAGAGGTCTTTCATTTTGTTTTTGAAGTTCCTACCCACCTCCTCCGGGCCTTGTTGAAGAAGAGAAAAAGTTCAGGCTTACTTTGGTTTGGGAGAACACATATCCATCGGGGTTTGTGACCGGCAGCAGAAAGATGTCCATGGTGTCCAGGATGGAAGTGATGGCTAGGTCATGTCCATAATCAGAGGCAATCTGAGCAGAGACAACACACATGTTAGCCTCACACTTGCCTTTCGTTGGGGACCATAGGATAGAATATCGAGGCAATGTGTTTTTTCTAGTTGTGAACCAGGGACCACCGTTGGTCAGTGAGAATCTTCCAGGCTCAGTGAAATCCCTCCTGCAATTTTTTTTTTTTTTTGAATAGGAGTCTTATTCTGTCACCCAGGCTGGAGTGCAGTGGCATGCTCACAGTCACTGCAGCCTTGACCTGCTGGGCTCAGATGATCCTTCCACCTCAGCCTTCTAGGTAGCTGGAACTACAGGCACGTGTCACCATGCCAGGCTAATTTTTTGATTTATTGTAGAGATGAGGTCTCACCAAGTTGCCCAGGATAGTCTCAAACCCATGGGCTCAGGCAATCCTCTCACTTGGGCTTCCCAAAGTGCTGGAATTATAGGCGTGAGCCATTGCACCAGTCTTTTTTTTTTTTTTTTTTAGTCGAGTCTCACTCTGTCACCCAGGCTGGAGTGCAGTGGCACACTCACAGCAACCTTGACCTCCTGGACTCAGGCGATCCTTCCACCTCAACCTCCTGAGTAGCTGGGACTACAGGTGATCATCACCATGCCCAGTTAATTTTTTTTATTTTTATGTAGAGATGAGGTTTCGCTATGTTACTCAGGCTGGTGTCAAACTCCCAGACTCAAGCATTTCTCTTACCTCAGCCTCCCAAAATGCTGGGAAACTTTTTAATATGCCAGAGCCTACACTTTAATTTTTGATCAGAATAATCTGCTTATACTAAGTAAAAATCAGTTGTCATATACCCATTCTCTCTTAGAAGCAGTATCATTCTCCCTATTAATTCTGGTGAGGCATTTTGCAATAGTGGGCAATGGTATCTATGTGACTTATGCGGACCCTATGTAACAAAGACTTTTGAATATTCCTTAATCCCCACACAGGGTAATTTTCCAAAAGAATACACAACCAACATCAGATGACTTAAATATGCAGAGACTTTGCTGAAGATACAGAGAACCGGTAAAATTCCACTTGGAAATTACATTTTTACTTGCCATCAATTGCAGCAGAGTTGAAGTTTCTGCTGGATTAAACTTTATTCATTTCCTGTGCCCAACCATCCTCGGGCATTATTATTCAACTGTTAAATATCCATTTCATAATACCCTAAAGGTAACCACATTTTAATTGAAGGGGCAAATGTATCAGTCAGTAAGCACGTGGTTGCACATGCTTGAATGATTGGTATGGACTGATTTCCTTTGCTGACGAATTAGCATTCTGATTTATAGCATGTCATTTCTGAATGACTTAAGAAATGCCAGACTAGGTCACACCCAGCCCCGTGTCCTGACTCTGATGCCAACGAACATGTGGAAGGGAGGTGTTACCACACCCGACTTCAAAATCACATTTAGGAAATTTTCAGAACAACCCAAACACCCCTAACTCGTTCCATATTGAATCTGTAGGTCAGAGCAAACTCGTCCTACGCCTGTCTCTATTCTCCGTCTGAGCCTTTTGTGGGACTTTATACCTTTCTAGCACATCACGCCTCAGCCCTCCATGTTCCAGGCAGTAAAGCAGCTTTTCTGTAGTTGGTACTTAAGTTGAACTCTGACTCCTGGGGTCTTTACCTGGCGCTCTTTTGGTCTCATCTAGTTCTCTGCGCTTGTGCTTGCTTCTTCTCTCATTCAACAGCAATCATCACAGTGCAGTGTCTTTTAACAGAGTGCACAGTGGCCTGCCCAAGGGGACAGGGATGGGGTGCAGGATGGGACAATATCCAGAAAGGTAGGTTGGGTCTGTTTCCTGTCCTAGGGACAAGAGGAGGGCTTGAGCCAAAAGCATCAGCCCTCAGCACCCGGGGACTGTTGTGTGCTTGGGGACCATGATCCCAGAAAGAGAAAATCAACAAGACCTTTAGCCTCAGTTACCTTATTCGCTGTCCACAGCGCGGTCGCCTGTGTAACCCACTCCCGAGCGTGGATCCCGGCATCCAGCCAGATGGCCGGCTTGTCTCCTCCAGTGCTGAACTGCAGGACAAGCATGGACAAGTGAACGGCCTCACAGCTCCCTCCACTCCCCCATTCCTCCTGGGTCCCCCTTTCTCCTCTTGATGTGACTGAGGAGGAGGAAATACAATGACTGCCAATTCACGCTTCTCATTTAAGGTGAACTGTCTTTTGTCCTTTCTGTCAATGTTAAATTTGAATGCAGACTAGCAGAGAGGTATAGACCTCCTCTCCTTTGACGTTTGTAAAAAAAAAAAAAATCATTGCAGATCATGAAAATAGGTTCATATGCTACAAATTGGTTATGATTTTTTAAAAGACTTGTCCATACTGGATTTTTAAAATGTGGTAATCCCCCGCCTTTGGGAGGCTGAACTGAGTGGATTGCCTAAGCCCACCTGGGCAACTTGGCGAGACCTCATCTCTACAATAAATCAAAATGAGCCAGGCGTGGTAGCGCCCGCCTGTAGTTCCAGCTACTTGGAAGGCTGGGGCGGAAGGAATTACCAGAGCCCAGCGGGTCGAGGCTGTGGTGGCCGGGAGCGGCCACTGCACTCCAGTCCGGGCGACAGAGTGAGACTCCAGCTCAAAAAATAAAATAAAATAAAATGTGGTACATATAGCCAATGGAATATTATGAGCCATAAAAAAGGGACAAACATATGGACTTCGCAGCAACTTGGATGGATTTGGAGTCTATCATACTCAGTGATCTATCACAGAAACAAAGAACAGAGTACCACATGTTTTCGCGTATAAGCAGACCCTGAACATTTACCATGATACTATGAGAAAGGGATTGGCAGTAGCGGGATACTGCCATGGTGGGGGAGGGGGTACACAACATCAATAAGTGTACCTGATCTCAAACCAGGCAAAGCGGGCACCAAAGGGAGGTCCAAACTTTTCCTGTACAAAGTCCACTTGTATACCTAATCCTGAATTGTACCCCACATCTTTAAAATTAAAAATAAATAAAAATATATAAAACAAAAACCTGTCCATATATATACATCTATGTACACACACATACATGTATATATACAGACATATGAGAAGAGAGAAGTAGAAAAATAAACAACAAATTATTAATAGCTATCATCCCATAGTTATGGAATTAGAATTATGAGGACTTTTTTCTTTTGGTTTGTTTTTCTATTTTCCAAACTTATGCAATGATAGTGTCATTTTTGTTACAAAAACGCCCACAATAACCCTCGAGGCCCTTGTAAAAACAGGCTGGCAGGCCCTGGAGATGCATCCAGGGTTTAATTTCACGATCTAAGTGACTCCGTTTTATCTGGAGCAGTGGCTTTGCCAATTGGATCAGTAAACACAGAGGAAAAGATTATGTTTGCACCATTAGCTTTTATCTCTGTGCAGCATTCTAAACACAGCAGATAAGGCAAATGAGAAATGCAAATCCTTGCTAAGAAGAACACTTCACGGGTTTGGAGAGTTTTCGCTGAAAGTACTTTGTGCCTTTTCCTCTACAGACCTCAAATGCAACAAGCACAGAACTTTCCAAATCGCCCAACATCCTCCACAGGGAACCGCCCTGGGAAAGGGAAGGCTGGGAAAGCCCATGTGGAAGAGAATCCGGTGGGAGAAGCATATGGAGAGGAGAGTAGCACACTGAGCAGGTACCCCAGGGCCACCGAGGATGAAACCACTCCTCCCCGATGCTGGGGAAAAGCTCTGGGGAAATCCTCTGTCCCGATTCATCCTCTGGTTCCCGGCCATAAGGCTTCCAAATTTAGCCAGGAGTTGTGACATTGCCTCGTTTTTATTTTTTTGCTCTTAACAAACTCTTTCTAGGAAGTCTGGGAAAATCATTTCCACCCTTTGATATGATCAGCACTCACACTGTTGAGAGGTCAGGAGCTGGAGTGAAACCCTAACTTCTTTTCCAGCTGGCCCCTTTAAACGTCTTCCTTCAGGGGCATCTGCCCAGGCAGCGTCCTCGCCCTTGGACGCACTAAAGGAAGTTTTAAATTCAGCTCGGGCAATTACTCAACGTATTTTCTTTTTCTTTCTTTTTTCCTGACTGTTATTCTTTTTTAAATTTCTATTTATTTGTGTGTTTATTTTTTGTAGACTCAAGCTCTCACTATGTTGACCAAGTTGGTCTCAACCTCCTAGGCTCAAATGATCCTCCCACCTCAGCCTCTCAAAGTGTTGGGGTGACAGGCCTGAGCCACTGTGCCCAGCCTTCTTTTTTAACTGGTTCAAATAATAATAATAAGGAAAAGAAAGAGAAGAAGAAGGAAAAAAGAGAGAGAAAAGGCAGTGCACTCCCACCTTGGTTAGTGACAGACTCCTTTCCAGTCCCCCAGCCTCAGTTGCCCACAGCTGCCTCCCCCTGCCCGCTCCCAGGAGCTGCTGTCAGGAGAGCATCGCACCCTCCTGCAGACCTGTGTCAGCCTCTTCAACCTCACAGGACAAGAGAGAAAAAGCAGGGGGCTGGGGTGGGAAGCAGATGCTCAAACCAGCAAGGACTGGTTAGGAGGAAAGGGGGAAAAAAGAAAAAAATGAGCTGCCCTGCAGGCTGAGGGGGAGCTGGGCTGGGTGGCCAGCCTGGGAGGAAGGGCATTCCAGAAGCATCCAGAAGCATCCACGGGAAAAGTGTACCTTGAGCACGTTCATGGGCCGGTTCTCGAAGGAAGAGCCGATGGTCACTTTGCTCACGAGGCCTGGGTACTCAGCCACCAGGCTGTCCATTTCTTGGGAGATCTGAAACATTTCCAGCGAACCATGTGACCCACAAGTGACTTTCGCCCCATGCCCAGGGGACACCACCATGGAGGAGGCTGGGGGGTGTCTGCATCCCGGCTGGAAGGTGGGGAGGCGCGCAGCTCCTGCAGAGGCTGCAAAGAAGCCATTTTGCCACCACTGAGGAGGCCATTTTACTTTATTTTGTTTTATTTTTTTGAGTTGGAGTCTCACTCTGTCACCCAGGCTGGAGGAGAGTGGCATGCTCCCAGCCACCACAGCCTCAACCTGCTGGGCTCCGGCGAACCCTCCACCTCAGCCTTTCAAGTAGCCAGAGCTACAGGCGCATGCTACCACACCCGGCTAATTTTTTGATTTATTATAGAGTTGAGGTCTCATCAAGTTGCCCAGGCTGGTCTCAAACCCCTGAACTCAGGCAATCCTCTTGCCTCAGCTGCCCAAAATGCTGGGATTACAGGCCGAGCCACTGCACCTGGCCGAGGAGGCGCTTTTAATCGAGATTCTCAGGTGCACGGTGGCTCTCCTGGACTCCAGCCTTGTGCACAGCTTCTCCAGTTGGAAAGCTGCTCCCCATGCCCCCCACCGGCAGAAGGACACAAATGGTAGTAGCCCCCAAAATCAGAGGATGGGTCGGCAGGCGTGGAGGCTCACACCTGGCATCCCAGCACTTTGGGAGGCGAGGCAGGAAGATCGCTTGAGCCCAGGAGTTCGAGACCAGCCTGGGCAACCTAGCGAGAACCTGTCTCTACAAAAAAATAAAAATAGAAAAGATGATATGGAGGCGAGTGCTGCAAGAGGCAGCAGGGCTGGTTCAGGCCCGGGAATGATGGGGTGCCCGCCGCAGGCGCGCTAAAGCCACCAGACACTCCAGCTCCCATGTTGGAGGCTGATGAAATTCTGCACATCTGGGCCACCCAAACTGTGTCCATTGCCAGGCGCTGTGGGGAGTGAAGGGGACTCCAAGGGGAGGTAGACGGCCCTTCCGCCCTGAAAAGACCAGGCCTGAGTGAGACTTCTGCCAGCCTTGGCTCTCCTAGAAGGCAGGCAGCAGACTGTGGGGCCTGGTGGGCAGGGGGGCACCTTGTTTTCTCCACCCCCATTTCTGGCTTACTCTGTGCTGCTCTGCGGTCCCTCCTGAAACCTGGTGGCCACGTGTGTTTTCAACTCAGACATGCTTGAGGGGGCAGTTCAGAAAGGCAGTGGGAGCATATACTATGCACCACCCAGGGGACCAGGCTCCATATTCAAGCACATTCATATCACTGGCAGTTCGTACAGGCCAGACTGTGCTCCCAGATGAGTTTAGATCAAACCAGGTTTTGCCACCAAATAAATTCGGGAAAATTTTTTTCAGAGTTCTTTGCATTTAAAAATTGCTGATTTAGCCAGGCATGGTGACTCATGCCTATAATCCCAGCATTTTGGGGGGTTTTTTGTTGGGTTTTTTGGGGGGTTTTTTTTTAGTTTGAGTCTCACTCTCACCCAGACTGGAGTGCAGTGGCCGCTCCCGGCTACCGCAGCCTCGACCTGCTGGGCTCCAGCTATCCTTCGGCCTCAGCCTTCCAAGGAGCTGGAACTACAGACACGCGCTACCACACCCAGCTCATTTTGATTTACTGTAGAGATGAGGTCTCGCCAAGTTGCCCAGGCAGGTCTCGAACCCACAGGCTCAGGCAATCCACTCACCTCGGCCTCCCAAAGCGCTGGGATTACAGGCTGAGCCACCGAGCCTGGCCAATTCCAGCATTTTGAAAGGCAAGAGAATTGCCTCAGTTGCCCAGGGGTTCAAGACCAGCCTGGGCAACATGATGAAACTTCGTCTCTACAATACATTTTTAAAAATTAGCCAGGTGTGGCTGCTTGGGAGGCTGAGGCAGGAGGATCACCTGAGCCCAGGTCGAGGCTGTGGTAGCTGTGAACATGCCACTGCGCTCCAGCCTGGGCAACAGAGTGAGATCCCAACTCAAAAAAAAAACAACAAACAAAAAAACAAGAAGTCAACAAGGGGGCTGAGGGCAAGAGCATGAGTGGATGTGAAGTCAGGGACACGGAAACTGGCGGCGCAATCCTAGGAGAGCCTAGAGAAGCTAGGAAACCATGATTTCTTGGTCATTAAGTCCCCACAGGGATGGAAAAGCCTTGCCATTGGAGCAGAGAATATTCCATTTCTATGTCCACTTTGAAACACCTACCTCTTCCAAGGTGTGATAGGCCCCAAAGTTGAAGTTGCCACTCCGTTCTCGTCTCTGATTAAAGAGCATCTCTTCATCCTCTTTGTCCAGCAGAACCTGAGAGAAGCCAACAGTGTCTGTGACTGTCAAGGAAACAGTAACTCTCAAGCCTCTAGTGCAAGTTTTCCTTTCCTGCCCTGTGGGCTTTGGGACCACAACTTACCCTTACTCTGGCAGCACTCTGAAAGGGGTGGGGCATTCATGGGACTTCCCGCCAGCCAGATGCCGCAGATGTGCCATGGTGGGTGACAAGCACAGTCTTCTGACTCAGTCTACCCTTCTGGGAACTCAGGGCCTGAGTTAACATCTAATTAAAAACTCAACCAGGGCCAAGTTCTGTGGCTCACACTTGGAACCCCAGTGCTGTGGGAGGCCAAGGCAGGAGGATCACTTGAATCCAGGCGTTCAAAGACCAGCCTGGGCAACAAAGTGAGATCTGCAAAAAAAAATCAAAATTTAGCCAGGTGTGGTGGCTCACGCCTGTAATCCCAGCACTTTGGGAAGCCGAGGTGAGAGGATTGCCTGAGCCCAGGGGTTCAAGGCCAGCCAGGGCAACTTGGCAAGACCTCATCTCTACAATAAATCAAAAAATTAGCCAGGTGTGGTGGCGCACACCCATAATCCCAGTTACTCGGGAGGCTAAGACTGGAGGACTGCTTGAACCTGGGAGTTCAAGGTTACAGTGAGCTATGATTGCACCATTGCACGTTAGCCTGAGCAACAGAGAGAGATCCTTTTCTCAAAAAACGTGAACTAAAAAAAAAGAAAACCCTAAATCATGAACAGCCTGCTTCCCTATTTTGACTAATGCCCTGCAGTTGGTCCTTTTTATTTCATGCAGTGGCCTCTCTTCTGCCCTTGATCTTCAATTCTTTGTGACCAAAGTTCACTCATAGCTCCCTTCCCACCCTGCAGGGGTCACTCAGACTGCTGGAAGATCCCAGCAGTACCCACGAGTCCTTTCCCAGCAAAAAGCACTCAAGCACCAGAGAGGATGAACTTGGCCTGAGTTTCTATGGACCCACAAGCCGCCAGACAGCACAATCACCTGCACGTCTTCAATCATGATGGAATAAGCAATTCCCTGCGACTCCAGGAACACTTTGACAGCCTGGACACTGACAAAAGGGACTCGGACGTGGACCGTCTCCCCTGTGGTGCTGGGTGGTCTCCAGAAATCAAGCTGAAAGGGATCAGAGGCCAAGCCAGGGCAGTAAGTGGGTGATTCCATGGAAATGGACAGCTCAGCATTGATAGACTTAAGAAATCAACCTGTGTCTATTTTTTCTTGAGCCCACAAGACAGATCATTGTGGCATCTCTAAGATGTGGCAACAAGGGTGTTTAAGTACCCAAATATCCATCAGCAAGAGTGTCGTATTGTCGCCACACCCCACCATGGCTAGATACTGAAACTGGCAGAAGGAAAAGATTATTTAACACTATGCCAGGTTTTTTTTAAAGGTTGGCATTCACAGCCGGGCTCGGTGACTCAGCCTGTAATCCCGCGCCTTTGGGAGGCTGAGGTGAGTGGATTGCCTGAGCCCGCGGGTTCGAGACCCACCTGGGCAGCGAGACCTCATCTCTACAATAAATCAAAAAATCAGCCGGGCATGGTAGCGCATGCCTGTAATTCTGGCTACTCGGAAGGCTGAGGCGGAAGGATCGCCAGAGCCCAGCAGGTCGAGGTTGCGGTGGCCGGGAGCGGCCACTGCACTCCAGTCTGGGCGACAGGGTGAGACTCTAACTCAAAAAAAAAAAAAAAAAAAGTTGGCATTCACGTGATCCAATTCATCTCATAATTGGATATAAATACTATAAATTATTTGGGAGAGCTATGCATTAAATATGTTCAACAAGGCCAGGTGCAGTGGCTCATGCCTATAATCCCAGCACTTTGGGAGGCCGAGGTGAGGATTGCCTGAGTCCACAGATTGGAGACCAGTCTAGGCAACTTGGCAAGACCTCATCTCTACAATAAATCAAGAAAAATTATCCTAGCATGATGGCTCATGCCTGCAGTTCCAGCTACTTGGAAGGCTGAGGCAGGAGGATCGCCAGAGCCCAGCAGGTCGAGGCTGCGGTGGCCGAGAGCAGCCACTGCCCTCCAGCCTGGGTGACAGAGTGAGACTCTGACTCAAAAAATATATATATATTTAACAGGCCAGACATGAGGGCTCATGTCTATCAACCCAGCACTTTGGGAGGCTGAGGCGGGAGGGTCGCTTGAGCCCAGGAGTTGGAGACCTGCCAGTGCAACATAGCGGGACCTCGTCTCTACAAAAAAGCAAAAATTTAGCCAGTCATGGTGGCACACACATGTAGTCCCAGCTATTCGGGAGGCTGAGGCTGCGCCCAGGAGGTTGAAGCTGCAATGAGCTATGACCGTGGCAGTGCACTCCAGCCTGGGCAACAAAGTGAGACTCCAACTCAAAAATAAACAAACAAATACATACATACAAATATGTTCAACCATTTTTCAAGGTAAATTTCACATTTGATCTCTCTTTTCATTTTTTTTTAAATTTTTTTAAATTTTGAGTTGAAGTCTCACTCTGTCGCCCAGGCTGGAGTGCAGTGGCATGCTCATGGCCTTTGCAGCCTCAGCCTTCCAAGCAGCCAGAACTACAGGTGTGTGCCACTATGCCTGGCTAAATTTTTGGTTTATCGTAGAGATGAGGTCTCACCAAGTTGCCCAGGCTGGTCTCAAACCCCTGGGCTCAGGCTATCCTCTCACCTCCACCTCCCAAAGCGCTCGGATTACAGGTGTTAGCCATCGCCCCCAGTTTTCTTTTCATTCTTACAGTAAACCTGTAAGATATGAGAATGGGATACTAATCATCATTATTCTGAATGGGAAAACGAGATCCAGGAAAGGCAGGTGACTTGCCCAGTATCTTGTGGTTGGGACTCAAACCCATGTCAGAGGAGTCCAAGTGGAATCCAACTCAGACCTCAGTCACCAAGTCTACCGGTAGGGCATTTATCCACGGGGAAACAGGGCCCTCAGATGGGTACCTGGAGGTGGTCTTCAGCCTCCAACTGCAGTAGCCTTCTAATTTGCTCTTCATTGCTTGGTATGATCTCAAGAACTTGGTCTCTAGGAAAATTAACCACAGTCATGACCTTAAAAGCAAAACCTGGACACAGTTTCCTGCTGCTTTCTGCCCCTGCTAGTCTTTGCATTGTAGATTAGTCCAACCGTCAATGATCTCTTTGACGATCCAGAAACTAATAAATTGTATACTGACCCTCATCCCCAGAATGAGAAGGTGATGGAATGGCTTTACCTTCTCCAAGGCAACGTTACCTGAACAGTAACCAAGAGGTGACCCTGCTCCTAACCCAAAGCTTGCCGGTAAGGTCACCCTTCCTTTAGCTAAGGAGTGTTTGTCAGATAACACCTCTGATCATGAGGTAGTGTCTGTTCCTGTTTTTCAGAAGTAAGGGGTTTTTTTGTTATTGTTTTGTTTGGGGTTTGAGGGGTTATTGGGTTTTTTTTTTGTTTTTTTTTTGTCTTTTGGGTAGCTGGGACTACCAGTGTGCACCACCATGCCTGGCTATTTTTTTAATTTTTTTTGTAGATATGAGGTCTCGCTATGTCAAACTATGTCTCGCTGGTCTCAAACTCCTGACCTCAAGTAATTCTCTTGCCTCGGCCTCCCAGAGTGTTTGGATTAGAGATATGAGCCACTGCACCAGGCCTGTTCTTTCCTTTAAATGTCACGTATGTCTTTTTTGACCACCCACTCCTATTTTTCCCACTCCAACCTGCCCCCAAATCTAAGAGAACTTCTCTGAAAACCCTGAACAGTAACACCCATTTGCCCTGCAGCAATCAAGTGAAACTCACACAAGCACCAGCAAGCGTAACTGGCGTAACTTACCCCACGAATGTTTCTCGACAGTAGATGTGCCCCAGGAGGGCACCCAAAAACAGGATCAGCCTCATGGTCAAGGGCTTTTCCCAGATCCAGAATCAGAGTCCTTCCCGAACTTCATTTATAGGGCCAGCACTGGCCGGTATACCAGCCCCTTACTGAATTCCCACATGGTGAAATTCCCACCTGCGTGGGAAATCCTCAAGGCCACGGACATCCACCCGTGGGATTGCCCCCATCTGTGCATGTTCCATTCCCGGGGTGAGATAACGAAATTCAATGGAAAGAAAACAACATTGCAAGAGCCTACCAAGGGCAGTCGGGTAGCTGTGACTTGGGACATAAGGTGCCACAAGCTCTGTCCCACGATAGAAGCCAGATTAGTGGTCCTGGAGGTTCAAGTCTTCCTGGGTCTCTGACAAATAAAGGGCAGAGCATTGACAGTCATTCCTCAGGCATCCCATCCATCACATTCCATTACTTTGCTCATTTGTTTGTTTTTATAATATTTACCTTCAAACGCTGCACTCGCTCAGGCCACATGTACTGAATGTCCCTATAGAGTGGCCCATTCCAGGCCTCACTATATGTTAAAACAAAACAGAAGGCCTTTTAATATTCAGTCTTGCACTGTCTCTAAAGTAATCCATTTGTGCCTGCCCCTGATTGATGTCCCCCTTTCTGTGCCTTTTTTTTTTTGAGTTGGAGTCTCACTCTGTTGCCCAGGCTGGAGTGCAATGGCACACTCACAGCCACTGCACCCTTGACCTGCTGGACTCAGATGGTCCTTCTGCCTCAGCCTTCCAAGTAGCTGGAACTACAGGCATGGGCCATCACGCCCAACTAATTTATTTTTTATTTTTAGTTGGAGTCTCACTCTGCCACCCAGGCTGGAGTGCTGTGGCATGCTTATGGCCACACCAGCATTGACCTGCTAAGCTCCAGCGATCCTTCCAGCTCAGCCTTCCAAGTAGCTGGAACTACAGGTGAGCGCTACCACGCCCGGCTAGTTTTGGAATTATTGTAGAGATGAGGTCTCGCCAAGTTACCCAGGCTGGTCTCAAACCCGTGGGCTCAGGCAATCCACTCACCTCGACCTCCCAAAGTGCTGGTATTACAGGCTGAGCCACTGAGCCCGGCGCCAGCTAATTTTTTAATTTATTATAGAGATGAGGCTTCACCATGTTGCCCAGGTCGGTCTCAAACCTCTGGTCTCAGGCCTCCCAAATTGCTGGTATTACAGACTGGAGCCACCGCGCCCGGCCCACCTCACTTTTATAAGGACTCTTGTCACTGGACTTAGGAACCACCTAGATAATTCAGGATGATCTCAAGAGCCTTAATTTTGTTACATCTGCAAAGACCTTTTTTTTCTTTTTTTTTGAGTTGGAGTCTCACTCTGTGGCCCAGACTGGAGTGCAGTGGCCGGGAGCGGCCTCGACCTGCTGGGTTCCGGCGATCCTTCTGCCTCAGCCTTCGGAGTAGCCGGAAGTACAGGCACGTGCTACCACGCCCGACTGATTTTTTTGATATATTGTAGAGATGAGGTGTCGCCAAGTTGCCCAGGCGGGTCTCGAACCTGCCGGCTCAGGCAATCCACTCACCTCAGCCTCCCAAAGCACTGGGATTACAGACTGAGCCACCGAGCCTGGCTGACCTTTTTTTTCAAATGAGGTAACATTCACGGGTTCCAGTGACCAGGAGGTGGACATATCTTGCTGGGAGCCACCATTCAACCGAATTCGGGGCTCTAAACTTAAATCCTAACTACGCCGCTTACTCCCTTTGCAACCTTGGGCTTGTTGCTTACTTACCTTTTTGAATCTGAATCTCCTCAAAAACAAATTTTTTTTGAGTCGAAATCTCACTCTGTCACCCAGCCTGGAGTACAGTGGCATGCTCATGGTCACCACAGCCTCAACCTGCTGGGCTCAGGCAATCCTTCCACCTCGACCTTCCAAGTAGTTGGAACTACAGGAGCATGCCATCACGTCCGGCTAATTTTTTGGTTTATTGTAGAGACGAGGTCTTCTCAAGTTGCCCAGGCTGGTCTCAAACCCCTGGGCTCAGGTAATCCTCTAGTCTCCACCTCCAAAAGTACTGAGATGACAAGCATGAGCCATCGTGTCTGGTCAAATTTTTTTCCCAAAATGAGAAGGTCATTCTGATTATAACATGCAGTTGCTTGTCATAGGAAATTTGTATGATAAGAATTATTTAGTCAACCAATAATTTCTGCAAAAGAAAATCATTGAGTGTGTATCTTTCCAAATTTCTTTCTCTGCTTTAGAGTTTTTTCTTTAACAAATATTAGACAATATTGTATATTTGTTTTTATTTTATTTAATTTTTTTTGAGCTGGAGTCTCACTGTTAGCCAGACTGGAGTGCAGTGGCCACTCCCGGCTACTGCAGCCTCGACCTGCTGGGCTCCGGCGATCTTTCCGCCTCAGCCTTCCAAGTAGTTGGAACTGCAGGCGTGCGCTACCATGCCTGGCTAATTTTTTTTTATTATTGTAGAGATGAGGTCTCGCCAAGTTCCCCAGGTGGGTCTCAAACCTGCGGGCTCAGGCAATCCACTCACCTCGGCCACCCAAAGCGCTGGGATTACAGGCTGAGCCACCGAGCTTGGCCTATATTTGTTTTTTAAACAAAGATGACCTTTCCTTATTCATAAACATAGATCGACATGAACCTGTGTTCTTCATTGCATAAGAAGAAAATAGATCTGTCTACTTTTGAGAATCACACTTAGCCGGGCTCGGTGGCTCAGCCTGTAATCCCAGCACTTTGGGAGGCTGAGGTGAGTGGATTGCCTGAGCCCACGGGTTCGAGACCCGCCTGGGCAACTTGGCAAGACCTCATCTCTACAATAAATCAAAATGAGCCGGGCGTGGTAGCACGCGCCTGTAGTTCCAGCTACTCAGAAGGCTGAGGCGGAAGGATCGCCGGCGGATCGATGGAGCCCAGCAAGTCGAGGCTGCGGTGGCCGGGAGCGGCAATGCACTCCAGTCTGGGTGACGGAATGAGACTCCAACTCAAAAAAAAAAAATCACACTTTATTGCATTTTACTTTTTCACACACATTACATTAAGCCTAGCAAGAATGAACCACAAAAAGCTGCAAGGAGCCGGACACAGTGGCTCACACCTGTCATCCCAGCACTTTGGGAAACAGAAGCAAGAGGATTGCCTGAGCTCAGGGGTTCAAGATCAGTCTGGGCAACATGGCAAGACCTTGTCTCTATAATAAATAAAAAAATTAGGTGGATGGGGTGGCATACGTCTGTAGTTCCAGCTACTTGGAAGGCTGAGGTAAAAGGATCGCCTGAGCCCAGCAGGTCGAGGCTGTGGTGGCATGAGCATGCCACTGCACTCCAGCCTGGGCGACAGAGTGAAACTCCAACTCAAAAAAAAACAAACAAAAACAAAAAAGCTGCAAGGAAATTTGTGTCTGTCTTCTGTATATCAGATTCTTTGTACTCACTTTAAATCCCTGGGTTTGAATTCTCAAGTACCTGCTTAAAGGGAAAAGGTGTGTATACATAGGGAGAGAGAGAGAGAGTTTCAGAGTTTCTGACTTAAGCCGCTACTGGATTAGGTCAGGTGTGGTGGCTCATGCCCATAATTTCAACAGTTTGGGACAACAAGGTGGGAAGGATTTCTTGAGCCCAGGAATTCAAGACCAATCTGGGCAACACAGTGAGATCCCATGTCTACAAAAAAAAACTTTTTTTTTAGTTGGAGTCTCACTCTTTCGCCCAGGCTAGAGTGCAGTGACACGCTCATGGCCACCCCAGTGTCAACCTGCTGGGCTCATGGGTTCTTGAACCCGTGGGATCAGGCAATCCCCATACCTTGCCCTCCCAAAGTGCTGGGAATATAAGCATGAGTCACTGCACCTGCCAAAATTTTGGGGGCAACTCCCTAGGGTCCCCTCCCACTGTGGGAGCTTTTCTGTCCTACAAATAAATCTTGCTTTCTCAAAAAAAAAAGAAAAAGAAAAAAGATTTTTGGGCCAGGCACGGTGGCTCAAGCCTATAATCCCAGCACTTTGGGAGGCAGAGGTGAGAGGATTGCCCTAGCCCACGGGTTTGAGACTAGCCTGGGCGACTTGATGAGACTTTATCTCTATGATAAATCAAAAAATTAGCTGGGCATAGTGGTGCATGCCTGTAGTTACAGTTACTTGGAAGTCTGAGGCAAAAGAATCACCTGAGCCCAGCAGGTTGCAGTCGCAGTGGCCACGAGCAGGCCCTGCACTCCAGCCTGGGCAACAGAGTGAGATTCTAACTTAAAAAAAAATTTCGCTGGGCTCAGTGGCTCAGCCTGTAAACCCGTGCCTTTGGGAGTCTGAGGTGAGTGGATTGCCTGAGGCCGCGGGTTCGAGACCCAGCTGGGCAGGCGAGATCTCATCTCTACAATAAATCAAAAAATTAGCCGGGCGCCGGCTATTCAGAAGGCTGAGGCGGAAGGATCACCGGAGCCCAGCAGGTCGAGGCTGCGGTGGCCGGGGGCGGCCTCTGCACTTCAGTCTGGGCAACAGAGTGAGACAGCAACTCAAAAAAAAAAAATTTCACCAAGTATGGTGGCATGCACCTGTGGTACCAGCTACTTTAGAGGCGGAGGAGGGAGGATTGCTTGAGTGTAGGAGTTGAACATTGTGGTGAACTATGATTGTGTCACTGCACTCCAGTCTGGGCGAGTGTGAGACCCTAACTCAAAAAAAAAAAAAGAAAGTAAAGAGAAAAAAGACCAGCCAGGGCCCACTACAAGACCTCATCTCTACAAAAAATTAGCCAGGCGTGGTGGCGCATGTCTATAGTCCCAGCCACTCGGGAGAACAAGGTAGAAGGATTGCCTGAGCCCAGGAGGTCAAGGCTGCAGCAACCCATGATCATGCCACTGCACTTGAGCTGGGCAACAGAGTGAGACTCTGACTTAATAATAACAACAACAACAACAACAATAACCTCCTAGATAAGGTGTTTGAGCTGAGTCTTTGGGCAGGTGGGATTTGCCAAGTCAAAAATGAGAAGAGCCTGGATTTCTGGTGGATGAGACAGGCAGAGAACCAGGAGAGCACATTGCACACATCTGGGTTAAGGAGAAAATTTGCCAGAGCCAAGA